CTCTTCCGCTTAATCTCAAAAATGTCGCCTAGTACGCAAAGTAATAAACAAAAAGAATTTTTAAATATCTTAAAACATTATGACTATTTATAGATTTGCAATAGGTAGGTAGCTCTTGGGTCATTAATAGTTTGAAGATAAGAATCGTTTGAAATTGATATTAAAATGATTGAAGTCATCTCGTTTCATGGACTCGGGAATGTCATTATAAATTGCACAGATAAATTAATAAACACCCAGTCTGTTCAAAATTATTGAAAATTCTGCTCACAGTGAAAAAGTGCACTTGTTTGTTTGGATGAAGATCATTGAAAATATCTGCTGTTTCACGCACTGTCTTATAGTTATTTTCACCAATTTCAAATACAAAANTAACTTTTGCAATTTTTTCGAGCCTCTCATGAAATTTTCCAAAAAGTTGCCAGAGGTCATTCCGAATCATAATTTTCGGTGCCCTTGGACAGAAGTTCCAAAAAAAAAGATATTGTGACCCAGACTAAGAATAATTGGCTCAAAATCGCTTAACCACGTAACGACATACAGTAATACAAAAAGACATGACATTAAAACGGGTAAAACCTCAGGAACAACTTGTTATTAAACCTAAATCAGTAAAATAGTTGAAGGTCACGGAACAAACGTATCAAGTTGATGCCTCATCTTTGCTTTATAAAAAACCATTTATGAATCATTCACTTCATAATAATAGTATTTTCATTATTTCATTTCAGTGAGACTAGAGAGTTTTTTCAGTGAATATTAACATCTCTTTCTCATGTAACGACTCGTTTGAGCCATTGTATGTAATTAATTTGAAATGCTACCTGGAAATTACGACAATAATTCATTTCAACGTCAGCTGGTTTTACCAATTCGCACATGAAAAAAATTGTTGCGGAAGCTTCGTCTAATTCGTGACGCGTTGAATATAATATACGTTCATGATTTATTTATCTTGTTATAGGTATTTCAGCTAAGAATGTGCGGAAATATAAAATAAATAGAATTAACGCAATTTTGTTTGGATGAATAACATGTCAGTATTTGCCTTCGAAACAATTATGACAATGCAGATAACACACAAATAAACAATTATTTATATTTTCTTGGAATTACTTGAAAGTAAACACTTTTAGTGTTATTCGGACGGTATTTCAATCATTTATTGATCTTTAGGCTAAGGCCACACTACAGTTTTTTCCCGCAAGCAATTAACCGTCAAACCGCAAAACCGTCCGAGACGCCTCACACTACGGTTAAAAACCGCGAAACTGGCCACGATTTTCACAGTTTGAAGATGGATTTCAAGAGAGCTGTATGTGTTGATGCTCTAATACTAAAGAGCAGAAAAAGAGCATCAAAAAGTTCTCAAATTTTGGAGGATAAACTTTCATAATCTGATTCATTTGAAACAGACTCCGATTCAGTCGACGACATAGTGAAAACACAAGGACGCTTCACGACAGTGTGCCGAATAATGACAGAACCGCCTGCGGTTGCCGCGTCAAATGTGTGCGCGCCATAAGTTCTATTAACTACACATTTTGGCGCGGTTTTTTCCAGCTAACCATCTTGTGACGCGGTTTCAAAATCAGTCGCTTCCATACTCCTTTACTCGCAAAATCAGGCGGTTAAAATCCGCGGCGGTTTAGCCATAGTGCGGCCTAGGTTAGGTTAGGCCGGCTTTGCCGAACTCTATAAACCTGTTTCGGTCCTCAGCGGGGCAGGCACAAAGTATATGCTCTGCTGTTTCATCATTTTCCAAACAGGCGTCACACACTGTCTTCCGACAGTCCGAGTCACTGATGCATATGATGATTCAAATGATAGTGACCTGTAAGAAGGCCTGTTAGACATCGTCCATACCTACTGTAGTCCAACAACTGTTTGGTATCAAGCTTCGAAGGGTGAACAAACGCCTTGGAGTGAGCCAATCCTGGAAGATTCTGCCAGAAGTCCATAAATCTTCTTGCCATCCAGTTGTTCAATGTTTGTTTGGCAAAGCCTAAAGCGATATCAATGACAGGTTCTGGTCCGACGAAGCTGCTTGTGGCACCCTCCTTTGCAAGGGAGTCAGCAGCTTCATTGCCTTCCAGGCCAGTATGGCCAGGAATACAGACCAGATACAATCTGTTAAGTCTTCCTATCGAGATGAGTCGTTTTTGGCAATTTGCTTGGTTCCTACCGTTTCTCGGTAGGAGCCAAGAGCTTCCAACGCCGCTTGACTGTCCGAGAATATTTTTATTGACTTGTGTATGAGGTTGGATTTATCCAATCTCTTCGCACACAATTCAATAGTGTAAATTTTTGCTCAAAATACAGTCACAAAGTTCCTAGGCAGGTAGATATCTCTGTCCTGGGTCTGCGACTAAAAACACCTGCACCAGAACCGGAAGTTGTTTTTGATTCCTCTGTGAACCAACAACTATCTGCTCTTAATATTTCCTTCTCCCGGAGGATCCAGTCCTCTCTACTCGGGAATAGTACTTTATAAGGCAGTTCGTAGTCGTCAGTTGGAGGCATAAAGTCAGAGATCATCTCCAGATTGCTGTGATTTCCAGTGTCAACCAACAGCCTGTTGCACTCTGCATTAAATTGATTTGTGCAATTGGCAATGTGCACAAGTCTGTATGCAGTCCATCTAGCCTCTCTCTCCAGAAGAATGTGGAGAGGAGGTAGATCTAGAAGGATCTCCATGGCCGCTGACAGTGTGGTACTGATGGTACCACTGATGGCTAGACAAGCCTGTCTCTGTAAGCCAGAGAGCTTCGCTTGGGCCGTTTTCTGTAAATCCTTCGGCCACCAAGTAATTTCACCATAAGTGATCATTGGTCTGACAATCATCACATGTACCCAATCCTTCGACATGTCCATAGAGACAGTCTGGCTTTGTGTAAAACTTTTTCCAAGTGAACGTTCTAGGCGAGTCTTTCATCAAGGACAATGCCAAGATATTTCACCTCCGTTCCAAATGCAATGACCTCACCATTGAGGAAGGCATAAGCTTTATTGTTGTTTCAGTAAAGTGTCGTGGCGATAACCACCTTATGTATTTTCAAAAAAATTATGTACTACGGTGGTGACGTTATTATTTGAAGTAGAAAGTCGATGGGAATCCAAAAAAGCAATTAATGTATTGAATATAGGTCAGTAAAAGTACCAAATAAATTGATGGCTTCAAAACAAAAAAAAAATATGGAAAATATTTTCATTCCACACGCCTTTCAACACTTTCTAGAACCGACTTTAACAATCGATATGAAAAAAATATACGTTTAAACTATGTTTTTCCGTTAACCAGCTGTCGCACTTTTACGAATGACAACCCTCAGAAGTCGAAACTTGTGAGAGCTAAGGACTAACGAGGTTTTACCTTTTAACGTGTGATTCCTAACACGGGTTGGACGATAGCTAGTGAAAATTGATCGTTGAGCCTGCGGCTTGAACCACCGACTAACACGGCGGTCGATTGAGTGAGTGAACAAAGCACCCGCGTCGAACCGACCGGCTACCGACCGACAGAATTGAAAAATATTGAATAACTTCGTCAGAACATGTCTTGAACGCTATGCCTATACTTTGTCCATCTAAGCAACAGAGTGCTCCAAAACATTATCTCGTGATCTCCCAGACAAGGCTGCTTGTACATAGTTGCACTAAGGAACGAACGATTTAGTTTTAGTAATATGCTGCTGGGTATATAATTTTTTTAGGTAGAGTATAGGGACACATTTAGCACAAATTAGCAGTTTCAGGCGTTCAAACTTAACTGACCACTCCGATACTGTAACAGTGAATTCCGCCAGCCGATTGCAGTTGAATCTGATTGGCCAGCGTAATCAATAGATACAAATGTACGTGGTGATCAAGCTTTGATCACGCATCTATCTTTGTTTGGATTACTTTATTTGTTGGATGGATATAGTTTAGAGAGATTTCAACAATAATCACAAATTCTTCTTTACAGGGTGTACCTTAAATGATGTCATTAATTTCATTTGAACGTCTTTCATCACCACCTGAAATTAATCATTTAAGATACAGCCTGTAATGCGCTAACGTGATTACGTTACCACTAAATCTCTTGCCGCAAGAGGGCACTGTGGGACGTGAGGTTAGCTCTCGTGGTTATAGATAAACTATTTAATTTCTCATCAATATTAACATGACCCAGCGCGACTACATTTTATTTGAAAAATCTACCTACGATGTCATCGAAAATCTACTGAAATCTACTGCAATGTATTTGAAGTGATGTATTTTTTGATTTGAAGTTTGAATAGCACTAACATAGTGAAAATTTGAGTTTTCGACCACTAGGTGGCGCTTGTAAAGACATTTGAATAGCATCACTGAATCTAGAAGACCTTTGCCTTCTTACGGGTGTGGCCAATGGGCGTGGTCTAATACTTGAAATAGCAAGTTGATTTCTAGTTGGTTATTTTGAACACTGGGATTATTTCAAGTATTTGATTTCAAGATTCAAAAACAAAAACGTTTCCATGTTTGAAATGAAACTTTCAATTCTTTGAAAGTCTAAAAACGAAAAGTGAAATGAGGTTATGTATTATTGTTATCTTCTTCTTCATTTATTCGGAGGTCGGAGATATTCAGAAAACGTAACAAGCAATCGGGATATGGATGTTTTATGATCTGTATCCATTTTGTGTTCTGTGTATCTGTGTGTATCTAGAAAGAATGCATGTCATTTGCTGTAGATGTTGCCACACACATTGAAAAGAAAACTCTATCGCCAAGGCATCTTATCCAAATCTACTGAAATTTACCGGTGAAAATTAATCTATTGCAATTTTTGAATTCGTGTTGAAAATCTACCGAAAAAGTAGAAATCTACCGCATGTGGTCACCCTGAACATGACTTTCAAAACATATGATCTCGACAGTGTTGTCGTTTCTCTCTCACCAGTCAGTTGCTACTTATTAAAGTTGACTTGTGATAAACACCGAATATCGATGTTATTTTTTTCTTTTTTTTTCAGTACCCGATGACAATTCTGCCACTGTACGATACAGCCCGCAAGAAAGAACCGTCGGCGACTTTCAACACGGAGAGAGAAGCATGTCTGAAATATTTCGAAAAATGGTGCGAGGAGGACCAGGTGGACTTCGTGGAAAATCTGCTGGCCAGAATGTGCCACTACCAGCACAGTCACATCAACTCGTATCTGAAACCGATGCTGCAGAGAGATTTCATTTCTTTGTTGCCAAGTAAGGGTGATTTTTCATTTTTATATTTTTTTTAAGTTTATTAAATGTATGAGGGTGATACCAGAAGTGCCCGGCCTGTTTAAAAAATATCACCGTATTAGAAAATACACAATCCAGAAAGCATATGTTTCAAGTTTGAAGACGCTGCGTTGTTCAGTATTCGTTTGGTAGCCATTAATAGCTAAAGTTTTTGGTGAATTTTTGAAAAGAGAGATAATTGGTCATTGTTATGTGGTACAATAATTTTATTCTTAGCCCAAACAATAAAAAAGTTGAACTGGATTCTACTATGAGTGAGTCTGCTTTTACGTTTACAACAGTAAAATATCGGATAGCAGAGTTTAAACGAGGCCATACGAGCTATCAAGAGGAGCATCGCAGTGGTTGACCAAATGAGGTAACGACTTCAGAAATGAATAATCGCCGACTGAAAGTACACGAGCTAGCAGACTAAGTAGACAATTTCAAAAAGTGCGGTACATCGTATATTATCTAAAAATTTGGACACGAGAAAGTTGTGTGCAAGATGGGTGCCGCGTTTGCTCACACTCGAGCAAAAACAGTGTCGTGACGATGTTCCGATTGAATTTCGAAGTTTAATAGCAACAAAGCAGAATTCATGGGTCGTTTCATAACCATGGATTAAACATGGGTCCATACCCGAGACAAAAAAAAAGTCAAGACAGTGGATCCAAAAGGGAGAACCGGCTCCAAAGAAGGCGAAGTCAGATCCATCAGCAGGATCGGTCATAGCATCGGTTTTTTGAAATGTGCGTGGGCTAATTTTCATTGACTATCTTAAAAAAGGTAAACCTATCAACGAAAAGAGTATTATGCGAACTTATTGCAACGAATTAAGAAATCAAGCAAAAACGGCTACAGTTAGCTAAGGAAAAAAGTTTTGTTTCATTTATTGACAGCATTCCTTTGCCAACACAGGACGCGGACAGGATGATTGAAAACAGACCTAGTACTAAATTTTTGGGGGTAATGATTGACACCCAAGTTGACTTGGGTGTCACACCAATAGGTGGTTCCACTTATGTTTCGCTTGCGTTTACGCAGCTATTTTTATCAAGTACTTTTTTGTTTTTTTTCATTTTGTCTTCAATCGAGGACCGCCTGCCCGGTACTGACAATGCTGTAAAATAAATTAACGGAGTCTCTCAGAGAGACCCCGTGATGATGACTGATGAAAATTTGCAGCTTTGTCAATAAGACCTAATGTTCTTTGGGCAATAAAACATACCATTATTATTATTATCAAAACAATGCACCAGCTCACAAATTATTGCAATGACCAAAATTAACGAATATTCTGTGTGTCCATTGACCCCGTTTGAATCCAAATTATTTTTTATTTATTGATAAAAGCAATATTTCAACTCCGATACCAATATATCTATAGTAATAACATTCTACACTACAAAAAACCATTTAAAAATTAGGATTATTTGAATGTGATTCACGATCCCTCATGCCATTGAAAAAAATATGTGGGTGATATTTCTGCTATGAATGTCATATCATAATTATTGTTTCCGAGTTGTAGGAGGGTAAAGTTTTTGAAGGAACGCAGTTTAGAGTTGAATAATAATAATAATGTGCAGCTCGTAGATGGAAGCATCCTACACCATCTGGATGCCGGAGAGACGTATACTTACCTGGGGGTGGAACAGCGCCACTCACAAGAGGTAACAGCAGTGAAGAACTCTCTCCGCGGCAAGTATCAGCATAAACTTTGATAGATTTGGTCATCGGAACTGTCGGGGAAGAACAAAGTTACTGCAGCAAATATGCTTGCCGTTCCAATCTTACTCCACTCGTTTGGAGTAGTGAAGTGGACTCGGGAGGAGCTGTATCAACTCTCTATAGGAGTTTGCATCCCAAATCGTCAGTTCCACGGTTGTACTTCCCCCGACAACAGAGAGGCCGTGAACTTTTGAGTTTGGAGTGTCTCCATTACAGAATTATACTGGATACAGCCTGTAAAGTCGTCAGGAGTTCGGATCCCTTCTCTGCGTGGTCCGTGACCATGAGAGAGCAAGAATTGGAGCATTTCTCTTCAGGGCAGCTGCTCGAGCAGCTGATGAACTCAGTATAGTTACCGTGTTGGAACCAGTCCATCAACAAGCTCATATTAAAGCCGCAGAGATCACTTCACTTCTGCGGAAGCACAAGGATAAGCCAATTTTTGGAGTCTTCTTCAATAACATTGAAGACCTTGGCTTATCAAAGAGCCTGACTTTCGCTTTCCCCAGGTCGAGTGGGCTGATGCCGAAAACTGAGGGGTTCATCATGGCTTGCCAGGAAGGTGTCTTCAACGCCTTAGTCTACCGCAGTCGCGTGATGGGTATAGAGATTCCTGGTGCAAGGTGCAGGACATGCCGCGAGACGCCCGAGACCCTAATGCACTTGCTATCAGCATGTCCAGCATATGCGGTCTCGGCCTATATCCATCGACATAACGCGGCCCTAAGAGTGCTATATTACCATTGACGAGACAACGGTGTTGCCCTACGCTCCGGGGGATATTGAATCCGTTGTGGGGAACGAGAAGTGCCGAATTCATTGGAACTATTCGTTCCCCACCCTCAGGCTCATACAAGCTGATGTAGTCCTTCTCGACCACCAGAGCAAGACGATATTTGTCGTGGAGTTTTCAGCTCCTGGCGAGACGAATGTCGTCAGAAAAGAGGAGGAAAAACGGATAAAATATCGAGATTTTCTTTTCGAACTCCGCAGACTCTATCCAGATCACTCTGTCAAGATGGTCGTTCTGATTATTGGAGTCCTTGGTGGAATGATGTCTTCTCCACTCTCGAATCTCAAAATCATACCGGCTTGCCGCACTAAGGCAGAAACATCAGCCGCACAGATAAAGAAGGCTGTCATTCTTGGCTCACTGCGCTTGCTCAGGGCACATGATTCTCGGGCGCAATGATCACTTACCTCACGGTGTGGGGAGTGGTCATTGGTTGATAATGCTGGCACGCCCTCTCGAATGTATCGGGGCTCGGGGGGATAGGGCCTGACCAGCGCAAACTACGGTTGAAAATAATAACAATAATAATAATGGTATTTATTGGGTGAAATTGGATATAACAATCAAAAAATGAAGTTCAAAACTGCAGTGTAAAACACTACAGGCTTGTTCTACCACTTAACCTCCACTAATTAGTATAGTTAATTTTCTGATGAAGCTAACTTGATTGGTGAAACTCGCGTCAAAAAAAAGTGTTGCAGTATAGCGTATGAGAACAGTATTTTGACTGTATTAAAAGACAGTCGAATTCTTCTTTTTCCATTTTTATTCAAAAGAAAACGTTCGTTTTCAGTTGAATATTGAAAATAGGATAAACTCTCCCAAAAAGATAGAAAGGTTTTAACTACGATCTATTATTCCCAGTGAATTTTGACAAATGACAGATCACACTGATTGATTAATCTACTTTAGAGCGGAATAATTACCGTTATGTGAAAATGAATATTGAAATGAATTCGAACTTTTGTATATTGATTTTCTGTAAAGACTTCCACTTGTTTAAACGGTAATGAATTTGTTTTAAGATGTAACGGAAATGGAAATCTTGGTAATGATATAATTTTATTGCGTAACTTTTATATGAAAATACAAGTCGCTGATGTTATATCAAGCATGGCACAATCAGAAAACTCGTTTATCGACTCCAAACTGGTTTAGAATCTGGAGAAAACCACAGTCGTGTTTTTCCCAAGTTTATAATTTACATCTCTTATCCAATATAAGAGCAGTTATTCTTATTGGAAATATCCAATGTAACTTCCGAAATTTGTCGGTGAAAGATATGGAGTACACATTGATTTTGGTTTACTACGTATATCCTGAAAAGCCTCAATATAACTTGTAGAAATCTTTATACCTTTTTTTTGTACTTTAATTCTGGATAACTTTACTCTTTGTGGAATAATTTTCACTGAAACCGTTCAAAATTCAAAACCGTGTATCAAAAACATTTGATATCGCTTTGGAATCACTTCTACTGACTTCGAATTCAGCCTGCGTTTCTTTTCTTTTTCAGAGAAAGGATTAGATCACGTGGCGGAAAATATACTCTCTTATTTGGATGCAGATAGTCTGAGAAATGCAGAGGTGGTGTGTAAAGAATGGTTCAGGGTAATTTCTGAAGGCATGATGTGGAAGAAATTAGTTGAAAGAAAAGTTAGGACAGACTCGCTTTGGCGTGGGTTAGCCGAAAGAAGAATGTGGTAAGTTTAAATTTTCCTTTTCGTGTGATTATCTTTATGTGTAAAAAGCAAAGCCGTACTTTTTTTAAAAGGAATTTATTTTGATGTATGTACAATTTTTTAAACAATAGACTGCACAAGATTCTGGGTAGATATTTTCGTTTTCTATTCGTTGTGTAATTTTACATTTTTTATAGTGTAATCATTTTCGTGGTGAACGCCTGTTTTGATTTTATGGTGTCATTTATTTCATCTCGTGTAATCTGTTTTGCATCGTGTAAATAACATGTTGGAACTGCGTCAAGCATCCCCTGAAATTTCTCCTCCATCGCGCGAAATAAACTAAAATACAAAAATGCGATATCGATTTGATCATTAATCAGACGGAACGTTTCAGCAGTACAGCTAACCGCCGAAAAAATGTAACGACTTTTCGCTGCAAAACGTTACGTTTTGTCGCACCGTGTAAACACGCCTTTAGTTGAATTATCAAGTTACAAAATCCACTTTTTATAATACTTGACATAGTATCACAAAAAGATGGTGTTCTTGTTGTTCTCAACACATTTTATATCAGTAATCAATTTGTTTTTCAAATGTTTGCTCACCAATCAAGTTTCACATAATTTATTTCAATTCCAGGATTCAATATCTCTTCAAACCTCGACCAGGAGAAAATCACCGTCCCCACGGCTTCTACCGTTCGCTCTTCCCCAAAATAATCCGCGACATAGACAGCATCGAATCAAACTGGCGCAACGGAAAGCACATCTTGCAGCGTATCAACTGCCGCTCGGAGAACAGCAAAGGAGTGTATTGCCTTCAGTACGACGATCAGAAGATCGTGTCTGGATTGAGGGATAACACTATCAAGATTTGGGACAGAAGCACACTGCAGTGCACCAAAGTGCTTACGGGGCACACCGGGAGCGTGTTGTGTTTGCAATACGACGATAAGGTGAGACAAAGTACAGTCTCTGATGGAGGCTTTTTACTTTTTGTACAGTTGAGTTATTGTTGTCGAGTTGAGTTATCATGATACCGAATGTAACTCCAATTATATAAACAACAAAGTTCTTAAAAGTGTGTTTGAGGCAATCGGTGGAGTATTATCAAATTTGGTTAACACATCACTCAGAACTGGTAAGGTACCGCAAAAACTAAAAAATAGTACAGTAATTCCTGTACCAAAAATCAATAATACTAATGAAGTCATCAACTTTCGTCCGATAAATACTTCATCCATTGAAAAAATTATTGGACAGCAGTATATGAACAATTGATTGATTACATTGAAAGTCATAAACTGATTATGATGAACCAATCCGGTTTTCGATCTAAACACCCGTGTGAAGCAGCATTACAAGTTTCAATATCCAAATGGAAACTTCCTGTTGATGATAATAAATATATAGTGGATGTGTTTCTAGACTTCAAAAGGCATTTGAGTCAATTGACGTTAATATCCTACTAAAAAAACTCAAATATTATGGAATTTTTGGTTCAGTACTTGAATTGTTTGAAAGCTACCTCTATGGTCGAACTCAACAGACTAAAATTAATGGGACATATTCAAACCTAAAAGGTGTCAATAATGGTGTACCTCAAGGTAGTGTCTTGGGCCCGCTTCTATTTGTTCTTTACATTAATGACATCAACTTCGTTGATGTCATTAATGTAATGTCAGCCTATTTGCAGATGATACTCTGATTGCAGTGAGTGAACCTGAATTACAAACAGCTATCAATAAAATTAATGATATTATCATCAGAATATCTGAATTCCTCAACATTAATAAACTCAAGCTCAATGTCAATAAAACGAAAGCAATAATAATCACAACAAAACATAAACATAATTCAATTGACAAAACATCTATAAGTATAAATATTTACAATCAAAAAATTGAAATTGTCGAGGAATTCAAATATTTGTGGTTCATCGTAGATCAAACACTGAATGTGAAAAAACATTTCAATTATATCCGCAATAAAATTGCTAAAAAACTATTTCTCTTTGGCCGTGTAAACAGTTGCTTACCGTTTCAGACTTCCATTACAGTGTTCAAATCAATCATTCAACCACATTTCGATTACAGCGCTACTCCACTATCACAACTTGATGCAAATTGTTTGTCTACATTGCAAATACTACACAAAAGAGGCATGCACCTAATTTTAATATATAATAGATATATGCCAACTACAATAATGTTGGAAATTCTGGATTGGCTTTCTGTGAAAGACCATCTGTTCTAGCTTACCATGGTATTCATCTTCAAAATATTGTCCGGTAATGCAACCTCATATTTTAACCAATGTATTGTTTTCCATCACCAAATCCATAACTACCCCACTAGGAGGAATTCTAATTTATATGTACCACGTTTGAACTTTACACAATCCATGAACTACTTATTCCATAAAGGACTATTGGACTACAATAACCTCCTGCTTGAGATAAAACAAAGTGAATCTATTATGACATTCAAAAAAGGACTTACCAGTCATTTGAAGATACAACATTCACATTAACGTTGATATAATAACATATATACCTACTATTTGTAGGTATATATCAACTGTAAGTCATTTGCTAACTTACTATGTTTGTACCGAAATCATTTTCGAAGAACATTTAATCTAAGATCAGACAAACGTCAAGTCGTGATGTTCCAGCTTCCTCTTCTTCATCGACTACTTAATTGATTGCAGGTAATAATCAGTGGTTCAAGCGATTCAACAGTACGAGTATGGAATGTCAACACTGGTGAAATGGTCAACACTCAAATACATCATTGCGAAGCCGTCCTTCATCTCAGATTCAACAACGGAATGATGGTTACTTGTTCCAAGGTAATTTTCCTACTTTCATTCCTTAGACACAAAAAAATTCAGTTTTTTTGAAACTGAAACTTGGTACAATGTTTCATTTTAATTTTGAATTCATCATTGTTCAATATCATTTGTACTTTTGATCACCTTTGAAGTACATTTTTAGAACATTTTGTTTTATTGTTTTTCAAAATATTGTCTTCAGTAGTTGCACTTGGTCTGTCGAATGTTTGGAATACAAACTGAATAAATAAAAGCGTTTTCATCAGTATTCAAAGAAAAATACAAGTGTGCTATATGGCTGAATTCAGAATTTAATGCAGAATTCAAAAACCAATCGAAAATACTGGGTTATCATTTAAAAAAATTGGCGTCGGTGTCGCGACTCCCAAACGGATACCGTTTAGTGCTGGATCTCTACGTAAATAAGAGAACCCTTTGACACCAAAATTATCTGCTTTCTCGAAATAGGGATATTCTCTTTCATTTTTAGATATTTGCCCGCGGAGTGCCCAAGTGTATCAAAAATTATTATTATATATGATTATCTTGATGACAAAAGTCATAAATTACCATTAATCATTTACTTATAGGGATATTTTTGAATTAGTATTTTATTTTTGAAAAGGTACCGAAATTGAATAATTCATTTTCCTTTTTTCGTAGGATCGCTCCATAGCCGTTTGGGATATGACTTCACCGACCGAGATAACGCTGCGCAGAGTGCTCGTGGGTCACAGGGCGGCCGTGAACGTCGTGGACTTTGACGAGAAATACATAGTGTCGGCATCGGGTGATAGGACTATTAAAGTGTGGAACACTTCGACATGTGAGTTTGTGCGAACATTGAATGGACATAAACGCGGCATTGCCTGTTTGCAGTATAGGGATAGATTAGTCGTTAGCGGCAGTTCGGACAATACTATAAGGTAAGTTGATTTTCTTATCAGTATCCTCGGATAGGTAATTTCATGTAGAATGCGTGTACAAACTAATCTATTTGAAAAAAAAATCACATAAACTTGGAATGGACGAAAATCAAAGTTACATCTGAAGTACCCTGTATAGAAATGAATGATGATCAGAGTTTTGCATGTTACTTTATTATTCTCTAGTTCACTACACCAGACTCCAATTAGATATTTGAAAAAACAAGCCTTAATCACTCATCATCAACTATAAGCAAAATGAGGCTGAGTAGGAAATGAAGCGATCATTTTAATAATAGATCAATAGGACTGTTGTTCTATTTGAAAAATGTATTATTGTGTAAAAAAAAGTGTCGGTAATCTGTCACTTGCCATATCCTAGATCCTTTTTAACTGTTTTTGTGGTAAATTCGAATAATTATTGTGCATGTGTCATCATAATTATTACCATAATTAAGACAACTATGACAATAATTTGCGGGAAATATTGTATACTTGTATGTACTGGTGAAAAAAATTGTCTCTTTCAATAAGTTTTCACAAAAAATCCGCCACAACAAATTATTCAACAATTACACATTTGTCCTACCTACATCCATCCTACTATATTTGTAGATACTAAAACCTTGCTTTCATTTGCTTGTAACAGTTTTCAGTTGTGTTATCTTCTGAAATGGAACTATGTGTCTCTCAACATCTTCCACTTCACTAAAGCAGATAATTCTTCAATTTTTTAACAAAATGAAAGATTAGGTTTATGGAATATGTTATTCATGTTAAAAGTCAAGACCCGGCCAATTTCAGTTCTTTGGTAGAGTAGATTACTGTATTGACCTAGAATTCCATACAGTTCTTTGATATTTTCAAGGTAGAGTACTACTGTATTGACCTAGAATTCCATACATTTCTTTGATATTTTCAAAGTAGAGTACTGTTTTTACCTACAATTCCATACAGTTCTTTAATATGACCATGGTAGAGTACTGTTATGACCTAGAATTCCATACATTTCTTTAATATTTTCAAGGTAGAGTACTGACCTAGAATTCCATACAGCTCTATGATATTTCCATGGTAGAGTACTATATTGACCTAGAATTCCATACATTTCTTTGATGTTTTCAAGGTAGAGTACTGTTTTGACCTAGAATTCCAAACAGTTCTTTGATATTACCATGGTAGAGTACTGTATTGACCTAGAATTCCATACATTTCTTTAATATTTTCAAGGTAGAGTACTGACCTAGAATTCCATACAGCTCTTTGATATTTCCATGGTAGAGTTCTGTATTGACCTAGAATTCCATACATTTCTTTGATATTTTCAAGGTAGAGTACTGTTTTGACCTAGAATTCCATACAGTCCTTTGATATTTCCATGGTAGAGTCCTGTATTGACCTAGAATTCCATACATTTCTTTGATATTTTCAAGGTAGAGTATTGTTTTGACCTAGAATTTCATACAGTTATTTGATATTTCCATGGTAGAGTACTGTATTGACCTAGAATTCCATACATTTTTTTGATATTTTCAAGGTAGGGTATTGACCTAAAATTTCATACAGTTCTTTTTGTGTGACCTCTGGTTACACAAACTTATAAGCAGTCAACGTTCATTATCCCCTTCATAATGATATATGGTTGCTTCCAGGACATTTTTGTGAAGCATCGATTTCCGCCGATTGCCAGGCCGAGTTCATAACACTATTTTTTCCCGGTCATGATATAAAACCCCGTGACAATCATATATTTTGAACGAAAATACGGTTTACACATAATGATATTTTTTATGTCCTATAGTTCTAAATATTAATCAGTATGTTTCTTTCAGACTATGGGATATCGAATGTGCGGTCTGCCTTAGAGTACTGGAGGGCCACGAAGAACTAGTTAGGTGTATAAGATTTGATTCAAAACGTATCGTAAGTGGAGCTTACGATGGCAAAATCAAAGTATGGGATCTCTTGGCTGCCCTTGATCCCAGAGCACCAACTAGCTCTCTATGTCTCAGGACCTTGGTGGTGAGTATTGATAATTAAATTAGGAATCTAAGATATAGATGAATGTTCATTGATTTTCAGATGTATAATCATTCTGAAAGCACAAATGAGATTCTTTAATATAGTAATAATCTTTGTTATCCCTGTTACAGTTTATGTAACTGTATTGTAATACATAGGTAATTTTTTTTTATCACGGTGGCTACAAAAATCAATGGAAAAAATAGAGGTCCGTATTTAAAAAAGTAAAGTTGATGAAATTTAATGAGTGAAACGTCGGATTGCAAATTGGTTTATATCGGATTATAAAAACTATTAAACAGAATTGACAGTTTCTCTGCTTTTTTTTTAACATTCAAAATGAAGGCGATAAAGCTAAAAAGCTAGTTTTTGGCGAATATTTCAAAAACAACCACTGATATTCACGAACTGAAAAGAGATTATTCTAGTTCCTCAAAATTGGAAACATTTTTCCAATTTAACCGACCTTGTAGGTGGTTCGTGTGTTCTATTTAATTTTTTTACACTTTAAAGCTATTGATGTTTTTGTACAGCACTGTTTGGTGTTGAATCATAAATTTTTATCTAGGTGTCTCTTAGTGAAAGCTGCAGAGCGGCATAGAAAACAATTCCTTGTTCGATGGTCGATATCGAAGCTTTGCCTTGGAGCAGACAGCCGTGCGACCCTGTTTATTTTTGGATAAGCAAGGTTTGGGTTTCTGTTGGTCTCATAGATATTGTTCTTGTAAGGAGAGATGTTCATGCTTATATTTTTCTCTTATTTCTGATAAATCCATCTAGACACTGCAATTATGTTATAAAGAATTATTATGTAACTGTTTTTTTTACTTGTATCCACAGGAACATACAGGGCGGGTGTTCAGACTTCAGTTTGACGAGTTCCAAATTGTGAGCAGTTCTCACGATGACACCATCCTCATCTGGGACTTCCTGAACTCCATCCCAGAACCGAAAAGCAACTCCTCATCCAAGAGTAACGAAACTAGATCTCCGTCACGTGAGTACACCAACTCCCCCGATGAGTGAGGTATCCATTGCAACGTGCCTTACTGTTTCAGCTTTTTCAACAACCTACGAGTGAACCGTCGGAAATGATGACCGTGGTGTACAGACAAATAAATTTATATTTATTCATCATATTTAGCGAGTTCCAGCAGAGGTGATTTTTTTTTTTCTAATTGAAACTTGATTCGATTTTTCTATTGTGAGAGGTTGTACCTACATTTTCGACTGATGTATGTGGCTAACTATAAGGCGTAAATATATATATATTATTTCTTTTTTTGTGAATGTTTTGAGCAAATACAAACTTTTCATTCATTGACGGTGAACTGATATATGAATCTGAAGTAGTAGTTGTTGATCGATTTAGTCAGTTGATTCATTCAAAATTTTTGGACAACCTTAAAGCTACATTAACACTCTGGCTCAAGAGCTACAAAAGCCTGATGAATGAGCCCCGGAAAAAGATTCCTGTTGAGGAATTCCTATTCATTTTGAAAGTTCCAGCCCAATTTCAGTAGAAGTCATTGCTTAGAAGCTTCCTTCGCTTCAAAGCTTGATAGGAATGTTTTTGAAGAGTGTTTAAAATTCACATTATTCTAGAATTTCCCAGAGAACAGATGGGTTACAATAAATTTTGATTCGTTTTCCAATATTTGAATTAATATACGTATTTTATATTGAAAATAACTTTAAAGTATTATTATTAAGAGAGATATATATCGAATTTGTTTAATGAGTGGAATAATAAAAAAAAAAAGATTTATCCCACTTCTGCCACCAAATGCAAAATTTGTGTTTCGCCCCTTTGATTGATAAGTTTTGATTACTTTTGAATTGATTTTTTTCCTCATGTTGTGTGTAACAAGAAACTATGAGGACTACCTTTCTAAAAGATTAACACTGGTAAAAAAAATGTCTAAGTATATTTCAATCTAACATAATCATAGGTGTTTGGATGAAATTGATTGGTGTATTTTTGTGAATGTGAGATTCAATCACTCTGTTGTTTGTGAATAAATGAAGAGAAAGAATGACGCAATACTTACTTTTAGTAGGTGCAACTGATTCAACATGGGAAGCTGTTTCGGGGAAAATGAAATTTTGTGTTTATATTGGACTTTGTTTATTTTAAAAAAAGTTTTATGAGGGTCACAAATAGTGGATTGCGTTATTTTTTCTCCATGCTTCAATTGGCACTATGTTAGATCTTTTACAATGTAAGTTTAAGGTAACAAGAAAATATTAGCAAATTTTAGCTGAATCGACTTGTTGAAATATTATTCGATATATTTGTGAGATGCAATTTGCATGTTCCGATAAAATTTTTTGACGTTTGACCTAACCGGCTTAGGTTGGATGCAGCAAAAGGCGCGACTTAATAAAGAGTATTCTTTTTAAAAATCTGAGTTTGACAAGCAGTGATTGAAGTTGAATTATTTGTTGCTTAATTAGGTTGATAATTATTAGGATAATCTTCGAGACCAAAATCTAATATCGTAAGGCAGTATGAATTTTTGGCAAAAAAACCCAGGAACTGATAATCAGAATTTTGAACTTTCACAGAGGTAATCCCACAAAAAAAAATTTCATCTGAAAGTTGCGCTCTGCATAATCTATCAGTTGTTATTTAAGTAATTTTTCCCTTTATTGTACAGATACTAGCTGTTGCTTTTCACGAATTTGTAGACTTTTCAGTATTTTTACCTAGAAATTATATTGCAATAAATTGTGCAGCGAGAAGTTTATTAACTTCAAATTTCTCTGTTCAATTTATTGTCGTAGTTCAACGGTTTCTGCCAAATGTAGTTTATATGAAAATAAAGTGTTTCGTCTGAAGTAGATGAAATCATTTGTTATTTATCGAATGAGAATATATAATTTGAGTTTTCATGTTTTTTTTTAGTCTGATTTCATTATTTTACATATCGGCAATTGAGAAAAATTTCAGGTTTCTTGGCCGAGCTTTTTATTTTCCTTATCTAATCTCTTGAAATGATCTTTCAAGAGTGCTCTGACACAATGTTCCCTCATTAAGATTACACTGGTACTTTGCAGGATGCGCTTTTATTTCAGAAATTCTTTTAGACCAACTGTATTAGTTCTGACATTGCCACATGATGGTGCTAATAGTAAAGATTTTTTTAATTTTAGTGTGATCATTGATAAGTGATCCTATTATTGATTCGTAAAAACGAATAAGTGAAGCTATCGCAAAAAATTGCGTAAGTTGTGTTATGATTGTGAAGAAATACATGTTAATCCCCATATTCTGATAATATTAAGATGCAGTTACAGGAGTATTAACAGTATCTAGCATTGTTTTGGAAGAGCCATATTGGTAACCAGATTTGCATAAAAATTCTACATGTAATCAGTCGCCATACCAGTGTATAGGCATCTAAATGCTTATCAATCCAAACCTCAACAGAAGTTTGGGAGAGAAGTTTTGTTCTTCTTCATGATTTGCACAACTTTTATAATTGAAAATTTTGTCATCATTGTATGTTTACAAGAGTTTTTGCGGATTGGTCCTTCCACTGAGAATTTCAAGTAAGAGAATAATCAACTAGAAATTTAATTTATCTTTGAGATACTTTCCAAGGAACATTTCAAAAGAAAATAACGATACGTTTCATTCAGTCGAAACACTCAATACATTTTAGATTACTTATGAAAAGCTTTTGTGATAAAAACTTATCCTGAAAAAATATGTATGGATGTTTTTTACTATTAAGTGAGTGACTGTACTTTTTCGATTTTTGTTTTAAAGCATGAAAAGGTACTAATGATTTGTCTATACATAAAATTCAGATGATGTACATATTGTAAGTGTAGTATTTAATATATTTTTTGTTTTGCATTTACTTAGAATTATTTATATTGTGCGTAATAAACTGAATCAATTGGAACTCAATCAATTAATTTTTGTTTTCCCATTAGTGATGTTTCGGTTTGAAACATTGAGTTGAATTTATCACCTTCAGAAAAACTTTGTGTAAACTGTTGGATGAAATGTAAGTTCATAGTGAAATATTTGTTTTTTTTTTAGAGTATGCACTTTGCCAAACTTATTCAATATTGAAATTGAATTTACCTCAAACAATCTCGATAGATGTTGAAAAAATTATTCCTTTACTAAAAAGCCGGGACAAGACTTTTATGGAGAATTATAGTTCAGTTACTGTTCCATGTGGTTTTTCTGTGTTTCGATCACTGGTGACCACTTGGCGATCGAAACACGTGTCGAGGTGTTAAAAATAACGATTTGGTGTTGGGAAAAAACTCTAGTAATAATCAACAAAAGTTAACTAATATTCCCATTAATGAACTAAATAATCAAACAGATTGATGCAGGTGTATGTCTGAAACTGTTTTGTGATTTGAACCGTACATTGTACTGTTGTCATCAAAATTCCAATATTATGATATAAGGTTTCGCTCAGTTGGATAAATTATATTCAGAACCAGAATCAATTTGTGCCTTTTGAAATGACGAAAAATGGTATTTCCAAATAAAAACGATACATATATTACACTAAATACAGAATGGTCCATTGAAAAGTATGCACCTTGCTTTTCTCCTTTTTTTGTAACAACGCAAAAATGCTCGGACAGGTCAATTTTGCTTTTGAGGGGGACACATTTTAGATGTATTTTTCTACCTGTGCCTTCAACCCCCTAGCGAGGGTGAGTAACATCCCTAAAATGTTAAATGGAAAGTGGGGTCGAATGATATATCATTTGAAAGGGCAATCATGCGTGGACATAAAACATATAGTGTTATATTTTTACCACTGTAATTCATACGAAGTCATAAGCTTATTTTTAACTTGCAATGTTCATGCTAATTCTCAGATCTTTCATTTGAATTTTGAAGCAGTTATTCTCAACATATCGAACTGTTATTTTGCATACACATTCAGTTTGGAAGACAATGCTTGATTAGCTAAGATATATCATTCTACACCAATATGGTAGATCGCTCAAAATGGCGGACCAGTTTTGTATGCACTCCCATGATGTGGTTTTGCTGAGAATGTGAAAAATAACCTCATGTATCAAATGAAAGGGTAAAAGAACACGGGAAATAAAATGGCGTCACCGTGAGTACAATATGGCAGAATTCCCCAAAGATGGTGGTGGACTATGTTTTTATTCAGTTGTTTTATTTAGCTTGCCCTGTTTGTTGACACATTGATCTGATATTTGGTACACACATTTAGTTTTGATGACAATACAATTCAATGAATTCTGTATCATTGTAAATCCAAGATGGCCGCAGACACAAAATGGCAGATCACATATTGTTTCACAACTACCTCATTATGGGTGTCAAATGACAGGGTTTGACAAGAATAGTGGTACTTTTGAACAGAATGAGAAGAAGAATTGAGTAACAAAATCAGAGACTAATAACTTGAAAATAGCTCAAAAAAATTATATTAAACAGTTTTATTGAAACGAAAAGATAATGATTGTACATAATGTACTAAAAACTAAAAAATAATTCTGAAGATCCTAGGCAGCAGTCATCACACTTCTCTCCTCAGCAATCTACGGTATTGATCAGATAAAAAATAATAAAATCGTTGGGTACATATATAAATACTACGCCCAACAATCATTTTTTTAATTTATCTAATCAATACCGCAGATTGTTGAGGAGAATGGTGTGATGAGTGCTAGCTAGGACTTTCCGAATTGTTTTTTAGTTTTCAGTAAATTATCTACATCATTATTACTTTTTTTTCAATTAAACCATTTAACATAAAACATTTTTTTTTACTTATTTTATTACTATTCCAAGTGATGAATTGAAAATAACGACATTATATAGCAAATTTATTGTACTAATCAACAGAAATACATATCAGATAAAAATAGTTACGGAACTATAAAAAAACAACACATAACAAATCCATACAGCATTCATTCTCTCAGTCAGTTCTGCTTCAAGTATTGTGAATTTTCCCTAATCAAAACAGCTCCATAAACAAAAACTGGCTCATTTCAATTGGAAAAACAATGTAATATACGTTTTCAAAGGTGATAGATTTAAAGTAAACACACCTTTCAACAAAACGTAACCGATTTCATCACAAAATTTTACACTAGAATGTTTTCAACTCGAGTTCTGAAAACTTAATTTTTCTCCTCCTTTTTCTCTTTTGGTTCCTCGCTGCTCTGTTGCTCCTGACTGCTACTGCTACTGGATCCCTCCCGTTCTGCGGCCATCTAAAAAAATCGCAATTATAAATATTTTGCCTTCACTTTTAGAAGTTCATATTCAAATTATCAGCTAGACACGTCAAATCAGGAATCACCATTCCTTCAAAAATACTCACTTTCTTGTATGCCATTTCGAATAGTTTAAGTGAAGACTGCTGCAACGTTGAGGTAGCTTTACGCATCTCTTCGGGATCAACGTCGTCTTTCTTGCCCAACAGCTCTCTAACTTTGGTTATTTCTTCCTTCAATTTGTCACATTCTTCCTTGGGAAGTTGATCTTTGTACTCTTCCATTTTGGTTTCCGTATCGTGAACGATACCTGCAAAATTACATCATTCTAAATCCATCAGGTGGATAATGATAATGGAGAAGTAGAATGCCAAAACCTTTCTTTCCCGCTATTCCACACATCTCAAGAGATCTTTTTTAGAATAGATCAGTCTTTTTGGCTTTCTACTACTGTCTTTATACATTTTTTCCCAAAATATAATTTTGAGTTTTGAAAATCGTGCAACAAGGCTGTTTCAAGTTATTGTTCTCAAATTTTAGAAATCCTTTGAACTCTGAAGCTCTTCTCCACATTACCTAACTTATTTTAAATAAAAAACTATCAACAATAATTCCTACCTTCAGCTTGATTCACGGCTTCCACTCTCTCCTTCTTCACCTTATCCGCCTGTGCATACTGTTCAGCGTTCTTCACCATGTTTTCGATTTCGTCTTTGCTCAAACCTCCCGAAGATTGTATAATAATCTGCTGTTCTTTGCCAGTTCCCTTGTCTCTGGCAGATACATGTACGATTCCGTTAGCATCGATGTCGAAGGTGACCTCGATTTGAGGGACTCCTCTGGGGGCAGGGGGGATTCCCACCAAGGAGAATTGACCAAGAAGCTTGTTGTCTCCCGCCATCTCACGTTCACCTTGATGGACTTTAATTTCCACCTGGGTCTGTCCGTCAGCAGCAGTGGAGAAGACCTGACTCTTTTTCGTGGGGATAGAGATGGGCTATTTTTAATTGCATTAGGTAATTTATTGAACCGATCAAAACCCTTGAAAAACAATGAGTTCATAGTATTTTTGTTTTTTGTATATATATTCGAAAGTAGGTAATAAGATATATACCTACATTCATTAATACCAACTATATAAACTTCAAACTGTGATTAATTGCGTTGTCATCTTTATAAATTCAATAGTGGAGACCTACACAAATCTGTTTGTTCGTTAAGGGTTCTATATTTTGAGTTTTCAATTGATTTATTGAATTTCATGGCTTCCAACAAATTCATTTTCCTTTCTTTCAAAATTTCTACTGGTCTGGCCTGTATATACCGCAGAGCATTCACTGCATTCTATTCTATATATACCATTCTGTCACGTCTAGGTTTTGCATTAACTATGAACTTAGACGTGACAGAATGAAGAAATCTGGCATATATAGAATATAATGTAGTGAATGCTCTGCAGTATATACAGGCCAGACCGGTAGAAATTTCGAAGTAAGACTCCGTGAACACGTCGATGTAGACAAAAAATCTTCTATGTAAGAACATCTACAAGAAACAAACTACAAAATAAGTAAAGAAAACCTTAAAATCTTACATACATGTAGTAAAGGAAGGAAAGTGAATTTGTAAGCCATGGAAATCAATAAATCAATTAAAAACTCAAAATATAGAACCCTTAACGAACAAACAGATTTATATAGGTCTCCACTATTGAATTTATAAAGATGACAACGCAATTAATCACAGTTTGAAGTTTATGTAAAGACGTGTAAACACTCCTCCAAGGGTCTCAATTCCAAGTGATAAGGGAGTAACATCCAGAAGTAAGACGTCAGTAACATCTCCAGCCAAAACACCTCCCTGAACTGCAGCTCCCACAGCTACAGCCTCATCAGGATTCACTGCCCTACTGGGCTGTTTGCCGAAAATATCCTGGACTGTGCTCTGAACCTTTGGCATCCTAGACATACCACCCACCAACAAAATTTCTCCAACATCAGACTTAGCTACTTCGGCATCCTTCAAAGCCTTCTGGCAAGGCTGGATGGTCCTTTTAATGAGATCCCCAACTAGACTTTCGAATTTTGAGCGAGAGAGTTTGAGATTCATGTGTTTTGGTCCTGATGCATCCATAGTGAGGTATGGAAGGTTGATGTCAGTTTGAAGCGAAGAAGACAGTTCGATCTTTGCCTTCTCAGCAGCTTCCTTGAGTCGCTGCATCGCCATTGGGTCTTTAGTGATGTCTATACCTTGTTCCTTTTTGAATTCTGATACGAGATAGTTGACAAGAACATTGTCAAAGTCCTCACCACCAAGGAAGGTGTCTCCGTTGGTGGATTTTACTTCAAATACACCCTTTTGAATTTCCAGGATGGATATATCAAAGGTTCCACCACCCAAGTCATATACCGCAATTCTGAAAGGTTAAAACAATATTGACCATCTACTAATGAGGTTTACTAAACAGTTAGTTAAAATTTTGTGATGACTTACACTTTATCTTCTGTTTTATCCATTCCATATGCCAGAGCAGCAGCCGTAGGTTCATTAATTACTCTCAAAACATTAAGCCCAGAAATTTGTCCTGCATCTTTAGTGGCTTGTCTCTGAGAATCATTGAAGTAGGCGGGAACAGTAACGACTGCATTTTTAACTTTGGTATTCAGATACGCTTCTGCTGTCTCTTTCATTTTCACTAGGACAAAGGCTCCAATTTGACTTGGGGAGTACATTTTTCCATCACTGCCTTGTACCCAAGCGTCCCCGTTTGATGCTCTTACAATTTTGTATGAAACGGTTTTCCTAGCAAAAGCCATAAGACATCATTTTTTAAAAGTTGTTTAAAAGTGAAAATTACTTTCAAGTTTTAACTTAATAATAGTTACTTTCTGTAAAATAATGATAATTGAGTATGTTCAAAGTATTATAAGTTGAAAAATTAAATATCACTGTACAGTAGAAAGTATTTTCAATCATAGAATGACTTTCAATAACACGTGACCAAATTTTTATAACCATATTTGGAATTTGTAGAAAACCACATTTAATATGACACTACTTGAAAACAAAAAAAAATTGAAACCAATTATTGTCATAACTAAAATGTTTCATGTTGCGGAGTCTTATTTTACAACAATGGTGACATTTCCAAAAAATTGACCAAAAATCACACAATCACAATGAGTCCACTTTTGTAATTTTTGTAAAAAAAAAAATGGATAATGGAACCAATTTTTTTTAAATTATTTTTCATCTCAGCTGAATCATGAATTGACAGCAGTCAAAATTTTCAAATAAAACTATTAGTAAAAAGTTCCACATGACGCAGACTTTACGGGTCACTCTATATGTGGTAATGTTTTTAAACATATTTGACCAAAATTTAGTATTGCCATAATTCAAACGGTAGATATACCGTTTTTTATGAGAGTTTTTATCTTTAAAGCTGCTAACAAACCATGTTTCAGTCAACATTAAAAATTGATACTTACATGTCTTTCTTGACTTCATCATCTTCAAATCGTCTGCCAATCAAACGTTTTGTGGCATAAAATGTATTTGCGGAGTTTGTAACAGCTTGTCTTTTTGCAGGCATTCCAACTAAACGTTCCCCGTCTTTAGTAAATGCTACAACCGAAGGAGTTGTTCGAGAACCTTCGGCATTTTCAATTACTTTGGCTTGCTTTCCTTCCATGACGGCAACACACGAATTTGTTGTGCCCAAGTCGATTCCAATAACAGCCCCTTTGACACCCTCTGATCTGAAAGGCAAAATACTTGTTAGCGAACATTCATTTTCAACAGGAAAAACTTACTTGTTTCGTAAATGTACATCGTGTTTTGGGCCTAGGGCACATAAAGATGATGTCTACAAAAAATTAGATGGTTAAAGTATATTCCTTGATGTCATATCTTCAATAGTTGTGCAATCCAGATTAACCTTACTTAAATAATTTTCACACATGACCTTGAGCACTACGTTTTAATGAAAAATATAATAAAAAAAAAACCTTTTTTTATATAAATTTGCAGTTATTACATAACACTAGTACAGAAAAAGGTCAAATCCACCAAAAATTGAAGAATATTTCATTACACTCACCTTGTTCAATAAATGGCTGAAATTTCGATTTCCTACTTTGTCAAAATGTACTTTTGAGCAATCGAGGGCTTTCCTACTCAGGGCACGTGCGGCGGATAGCATTTTATAATATTTTTTATACTTCGTAATACAACTTTTGAAAAATTAACAGGAAGCTCGTACTTTTCACGTGTGGAATATTTCACAAAATGGAAACCGGCCTCTTTCAATAAAGGTGACGATGTTGCCACTTCCGTAAGCTCACACTGAATCTGTTGTTTGTCAAAATTTTTTGACATTTTATTCATTTTTTGAAAAGTTGTTTTTTCGTTATTCACCACCCTACATAAAAAAAGTCCGAAGAAAGACCGCACCCTTTGGAAACAACGACTGTTCATTTGGAACAATATTATTATACTATTATACTATTTTACATAAAAAAATCGTTACTCTTGTGTTGAAAATAACGTGTTTGAAAAAATTGTAATATAATTATGAGTATTTATCAACAGCTTCCGTGAGCAATGTGATTATGAAATGCAATCCATATTTACAGAAACACTAAAAATATATTCTTACGTTATATCTATTATATCAATGAAAAATTACTATTCAATTTTTCTACCTAAGTACTTTCTGAACTAAAATAAAAAAAGTGCTGCAACCAGGATTTGAAGCTCTCACTATACAATATATCATTAAGCTATCAACGTCTTTTGCTGAACTTTGTGCATATTTTGAATAAATATTTCAAATACAGATATTTAAGGCAAGTAAAGTTTATGCAGCAATGTTTTATAACCCATTCATCGGTGAATTCACTCATTGGTCCATTTGAAACATATTTGTTTATGATTACTTGATTAAAAATGCTCAATGAGTATCGCTGAATAAATTAACTTGACTGATTTTACATTCGTTGATTAATCATTTCATCATTTCAATACCTGAAGAAATCACTGCTCGAAACATTAGATACTAACAGTATTAGTGAATATATTCACTTGCATTTGTTGATTGTGCGATTAGCCAAATTTTAGAAACTAAAGTCAAAATTTCAAGAAGTCAAAATTGAGAAATTCAAGTCTAAATTTCGAGATTGACGTTGAGTTGAGAGTTTGAAGTCGAAATTTGACATTTGAATTTATAAACAAATGGTTGAAAAAATACTTGTAGACGGTAGAGGTGGAGTGACGATAAAGAGGATTCTTGTATTGTACTTTTTTTGTTTATTAAAGGAACATGTGGACACTGTGAAATAAATCCAGGGTTATGCATGGGCGTAGCGAGGTACGGGCAGAGAGGGGCGAAATTTTGACTTTTGAAGTCGAAGTTTTCAAGAAACAATAATAAAAATATATGACCATTCTGAGCTTCCGTAATTTGTTTATTTTCATCTCCATTAGTTAGTAATCTGATGTGATGAATTGATCTACTATTAAAGATTTTAAGGTTTTGAAAAGTCGCCAATGCTTCGATCATGAAGATAGTTGAGCAGAAATAAATCATAGAAAAACGACAAAGAGGATTGCTGTCGTAACTGGGGCGATGAGGAGCTTTGTAGCTCGAAGAGAAACGTAGAATTTAGTGATTTCACAAATTATGTGAATATTCAAACTTGACAAAGGCAAGAAAATAAGTAATATTTTCTCCATTGAAAACATTCTTTGATTTTTCTATGAGATAGTATTTTTTTGGTCGATACTTGATGAAAATTTATGATAACGTATTTTAATACTATCTGTACTGTGAGATTTTCAGCAAACAGTTATCTCTCTTTCTCTATGTTTCTGGCTTTTACTTCCATTTAGGAGTATAGCTAACAATTTATGAAATCGAATATAACATCCGTTTCATTATACAATAGCTGAAAAATCTAATTTTATAGTGAAACACGTGTTATGTTTTGTGAACTGTTTAGTGAAAATCTCACAATGAAACGTTATTCAAATACAATTTAATGATTCTGATCAATCAATCAATCAATATTTATTTCCATTTTACGACATGGCTTACATATTTTGGAATTGTCAATTGGTGGGTAAAGTAGTACATTAAAATAAAATAATAATATACATAAAAAAAGATAAAATATACCAACATTAAAATTCAAATTGCATATAATTGATCACAGAGTATGAATTTTTAAAAAGTCACATATACTATAAAAAACTCTCTTAATCTCAATTGATGAGATTAATTTACCACTACAGAAATTAATTGAAAAAATGTTTCAACTTTTTATTATATAAAAATGAGTATAATTGGACGCCAATAATGTGAGTACACGAGAAAATATTGCAAGCTCACCAGTTATTCAGGTAATTACCAGTCTATTATGGTAATTTTTCTTGAATATTTTTTACTTGAATCCTAAAATTGAAATATGTTGGATTTCTTTTTCTTGAAACATCTTTTAGTTTTTTTTTAATTATATTAAACAACAAACGACATAATATTATAATCTTATCCTTATCGTCCCGAGTGACTACCTACTAATGTATATAGCAATTTGACAGATCCACTATGTTATGAAGAGGCATGAGCCTAGAGCAAGACCCCCCTTATACGAACTAATTAACCAAATACTAACAAAACCAAAAATGAATAAACGTCTTCGAACTTGACTTCGTCGTGAGACACATTTGTAAAACAGTAAAACTAGTTTCACCAATGCGCCTAGGTAGAAAGTGAACATTGAAAGAGAGAAAGAGAGTGTTACCAATGAACAACGCTTTTAGTTCCGTGGTTCCGAGTATATTTTTTCTGGAATATACTTCTGGCGGAAAATTTAAAAGTTTGTCGAGTAATAAATTCTTTAAGTTATAAGAGTTATCGAAAATAATCATTTGACTCATCCAAAGGCCAAAGGTTGGTGCTATTTGTACTCTGACCATTTGCTGTAATTCTTTTCATATATTTGCGATTGAAAATTGATAGTACGCATTATAGTATATAATAACCTAGCAATTTCTTAAATTAGCTGATACTTGTTGACATTTATATCTTTCACAACTATCGTGCTCCAGTTTTGTTAGTAACGTGGAGAAAACGAAATCGTAAATATTTCCAAGGAATAGAATATAAATATTTCAGTGAAAGTGTGATATACTATAAGATATTTTGCAATATGTCTCAAAAGAAAATTGGTGGCTCCAGTTCCAGTTCTGCATGGAACAAAATATACAGTGAAATCAAAAACAAACATGATGAAGCCTTCAGCACCATTGATCAAGCTATATCTCTAGAAGAACGGGAAGAACCTCTCGAGGTAATTTTGTATTAGAAAAAAGCTAGTTCAATCATGTAATGATTGTTTTTCAGGCTATAGAAAAGTATAAAAAAGGTATAAATCTTATAGATGAAGCCCTGCGTATACAGGTGCAGTGTCCTGATAATCCCGATATAACTTGGGAGAAAGCATGCGTTATGATTCAAAAAATAAAAAAAGCCAGGGCAGAAGTTTTAACGAGGATCAACTCGATACAGGCTTCTGCTGAAACATCTTCTACACCTCCTGAAGAATCACCACCATCTTACGAAGAAGTCGTTTCATCCTCTGAAGATGAGGCTCCCAAAACATATCAGGATTTAGCAACAGCGCTCAGAGAACTGAGCATCGATCCCAATCAAAATATGCAGGAGGAAGTGATTTATACTCATGACAATATCAGAGTGTATTTCATCTCACCAAACGGTGAAGTTACTTCAACCCGAAATCCTGAAGTTATGAAGATTTCTTTAGTAGAAGGTATTGTTTATTTGTATCTAGTGAACAAAGTTCAGTTTGCTTTTTATAGGTACAGAACCAAACGCTCCAAAGGCTGTGCTACAAATAGGAACTTGGGTTTATCCTTTAGTTCCTGGAGTGTCTCCTTGCTATCGTACTGATTATGGTGCTTTTATTTTACCAGATTTGAATGCCACAATACCAGGTGAGTACAAAAACTTAACTGAAGGTATAAACAAATTTTAGTGTAATAAATCAATAAATATACGAACTACACATCATTGTTAAGAGTTTATTTTGAAATTAATTGCTTTCTTCCTTTATTTGGAATATTTTCACATATTTCTGTAACCAAGCATCTCAATGAATTGAATTGACAAAATTATTCTATCTGCGGAACCCCGGCACCATCAATACTGATTATTAGAGACAATAACATCATACTGTAGAATTGACCTGACCTAAAACTTCATGAGAAAAGTGTATGAGTAGTTTCCAATGAACATTTTTAGGCTCTTCTGTTGGGATACTGTTGCCTAGTGATGCTGATAAAGAGGTTTTCGATTTATTGGAGAGTATCTTGCATGGTATCATAAGTTCACCAACTGGCGAAGCAATTGAAGATTGGAGGAAAAGAAGGCAAACTGTATCAACAGATTACAGCACCAGGATATCAACAAAACTTGTTGACGGTGAGTTTTATTGAATCTTTGAATACTATTGAAAGCAATATTATGAAATATGATATCTAAAGTGTTCCAAAAATACTTCAAGCATCATCAGTTGTTTGAAACGCTTGAGTTCAACATTATGCCCTCCTTCGATAAATAATAACCACTGTAAAAAATAATAAGTATTTCCAAAATGATCATGAAGTGACCTCTGAAGATTAAGATTTGACTTCTATTTACATGCTTTCTCTTAGGTGCTTGGTTCGTCTCTCAAGGTCTTATCAGAGGGGCCCAGAAGGCGGGTGACTTTATGAATAGAACAACACCAAAAGTTATTAACAACCTGCAGAGCGCAGAAAGACCTGCAAATATACCACCATCATTATCCAGGGGTATGGAGATTGCTCAAACTGCTACAGGAAAAGCAGCTCAGATTACAGAATTTGTCGGTGAGAATAATAATAAATTATGATACCAGATAGGTATTATGCTTTTTCCACCTAATTATAATAATAACTATTGTTTCTAGCGGAGAAAGTCGGTTGTGCTACTGTGCGTTTAGGGCAATTTTTGGCCCCTCACATCCAGAAGCAAGGAACGAGACTTCTATCTAGCGGGTTTCACATGTCCGAACAGGAAGCATCTGACAAAATGAAAGGAGCACTAACAGTTGCTGCAGGAGCAGTTGAAGGCTTCTCTACAATCTACAGGGGTTTGGAGACATCTGCCTGCATCTTGGGGACTAACCTCAAGGAGAACACAGTCAAGATTGTGGAACACAGGTATGTTTCATAATAAACTGTCCAGCCTTTTTTATGGAAGTTCTGCAGATACTCACTTGAAGAAATTGGAAGTAATAAAAAATAAATGTCTGAGAATATGTCTGGGGTATCTCCCGTCAACGCCAATATCAGTTATGGAAGCCGAAGCTAAGGAACCTCCATTAGACTTAAGAAGACAACTGCTCAGTAACAAATTTGTGACAAGAATCAAAGCAAAATATTCAAATTTGATTCCCAAACTTCATCAACTTACAATTTTCACACTCACTAATCGATACAGATCGTCTTCTTATGACAAAACGATCTACAAAACCTATAACCTTCCATACTATACAGAAGATTACGACATAATATCCCACGAGTTTAAAGTACATTATTTGGAAAGAAATAATATAAGTTGTGAGGGAGAGTTTTCAGAAACAATCAAGAGGCTGTGGCCAAATGCAGATTATATCTACACAGATGGATCAAAAATATCAGAGAAAACAGGCTTCGCATTCTATCATTCAAATACCAAATATTTCGAAATGTATATACTTCCCAATGAAGCATCCATAAAATACAAAAACAAACAGAAATGAAAATTCAAAAAGCAAAAAACGAGGGAAAAAATCTATGTTTGAGCTACTACTCAATGTTACTTTCAAATAGTTTTTCATTAAAACAGTCTGGCTAATTGGTTCTCCCAAAGCCAAAAAATTTTAAACCACACACACACCTTTGTAGCATTCAGGTACAGGATTTTCTGAAATTATTTATATGAATTCAACTGAAGGATAATTTACTGGGAGGGTTGGGTCTCCATTTCTATGAGCAGGCAGTACCTTGGCTGCTTTACAAAAGTTAGGAAATGTTCCGGCAAGTAAATTGCTATTCGTGATTGCAGTTATTGGACCAATGATATTATGTTAGATGCACTTGATCAGATAAAAACTTATATCATAAACATCCCGAGTTTGATATTCATAAATGACCTACCACTTGCCTCACCACAGTGCAAATGACACAACTATGATTCATTTTGACAGAAACTTAAGTAGACTCAGACGAACAATAGATGACTCAAATTATATTATACATGACTGATTTCTTGTAAACAGACTTGAAGTAAATGACAGTAAAACGTAAAATATATTCTCCTTACGAAACATCGAAGATTTCTCCTGTCTAGAGTCCGTTAAATTCCTAGGAATCCTTACAGATACAAAACTATCATGGCAGTATCACAAAGACACCTGTAACTTGCATGGAACTGCTAACAATGAAATACTACTCTACGCTTATGCATTCATACACTCTTTATCATATGCAATTATTTCATGAGCGCATTCCCTACTTGCTGCAGAAGTCTTTAGCATGAAAAGAGAAGCTATTAGGGTCTTGTCGAACTTGAATTACAGCAATGACTGTAAAGATGCCTTCAAAGCTCCACACATACTTACGGTTCCTAGCTTACATTTTCCAGTATCCCATTTATATTTAAATCAACTTCGATAATAACACAAGTCACTCTGACGTACATGAATACCACACCAGAGGATCCAAAACATATATCTAAATCATCATTGAGTCACACAAAATAGTAATGGACAATGGACTCAACTACTATGCTCCACAATTTTGTTGTGCTCTATCCGATTCGATTAAGGTTGAACATTTTCATATAATTGAGGCAAGAGGTGTTTAATGGTGTTGAAAATAACCCCATTGGCTCATTCTCGTCCTTGTGTTGTCACAGTATTAAAGTTCTCTGCGGTTTTTATGTGGGCTTTTTTGCTAAATGGGTTCTAACTCAGTGACAGACTTGTGATCACCTCATTCAGTATCGAAAACTAAACCAAGTTCATCAGCCGCTAGGGTTATTATTATTATTATAATAACCTCTGAGTGCAGTATATCACTCAATCAAAAGCTGTCTCTGATTAAATGTAAACATTGACTATTTTGCCTTCCTTTTTTACTGGTAGAAAAAAAGATGATGTATAAAAGTTTGTATTTTATCATGTATTTTTTTGATTGACACATGTGCATTATTGTATCGTCCCAACTGTATTTAACAAAATTTATTTTATGAGATTTATCAGATGATGAAGTAGTTTAATATATCATTATTAGTTTGGATTTGAACTTTTATGAATAAGGTGTTGTTAATAAGTTGATTATTATGAAAGAACGTGACATTGTTCATGATAAAAGTAGGTAACTGTCTCTCACATGCGTTTCGAAAAATTAATTTTTCACCATATATCCTCTACTAATCAAAGAATAATTTTAATTTCTCAAAATACAAATTGGTGTTCTGATTTTTCAGGTATGGTTATCCAGCAAGTACCTTAACGGGAGACACACTTTCTACCGTAGGTAATGTAGTGACCGTAGCCCACAATGCTAAAATTTTGACGCCTAAAGGTTTCATGAAGCGTACCATTAAAAATACCGGTAAAGGTATTGTGTACACAGGAAGTTCCCTCGGTGATCGTTCATCTGTCCAAGATATGGCTGTAGACTCTTTCAGTACGAATAAAGGTGATGGGTCAAGTAATATTACTAGTAGTGGGAGTAAGAGTTCTTTGAAAGACAAAGAAAATGTGGACGAGTCCAAAAAAGGTTAGAAGTCTTTGGAGATGTAATGAACTGTCAGTTACATCTGAAATGGTGCGTGGTTGACAAGCAAAGTTTGTTTGATTGTGATACCATTGATTTTAATTCGAAACTGATTAGAAGAAGAAAAAAATGGAGGATTTTTTGTTCAGATTTTTTTTATATTCATTCTGCGTGAAACATTTTCTGAAGACGAGGGAGGTATTAATGATTATTTAGTCATCATCATTGTTGTTTATTCCATTCGGATTAAGGATTATGTTTCCTTGTTTAATATCGTGTTCTGCGGTGGGTAAGTTCCCTTTTTCTATATTTATCTTATTCCATATTTATATATAAAATTTTGTTGTAAGGTACACCTTTCGAGATAAATAAGAATGCATTATGTAATTTGATCTTGATGTGGCGATAAATGGCCTCAAGATTCTGTATCATATAAAAAAAATTGTAATGTATTGAATTGATGGGTTTGATTCAATTTAGAGGGAATTTGTTTTGGCACTTGTTTTTAAAAAACGTTTTTTCACCATTAGTTCAATTATTCATCGCCGGTGTTTCTCCCAGATGTGATAAGTAGTCGTATTAATGTTTTAAGTATCTTTATTTTTGTCCTTTCACTTAGTTTTTTTTCCGAAGACTTAGTTTTCTGACATATCATTTGCCAACACAATTATTGGATTATCAGTGACGGCTAGTGCATTGGAGAGCAGGGGAGGCTTAATTAATTAATCGTCACCTATTTAAAGGAAAATACGTAATATTTGTATAAATGCAAACAAAAATGGTGTATTGCCAAAAATTATACGTATTAAACTGACCATTAAAAAAACAAAAACAAGGAAAAAGGGTTGTCTTTGAGTTATTTAATATAAATCATTTTTAATTTTTCATTTTTAAACATNTGGGGCCTCCTTGCTTTACTCTTTGGTTTGTGGTGAACTTCTCTGTTATTTCCTCTTGAAATTTGTCTCTTGCTTTTGTTTCGGTCAGAGTTTTTTTTTTTTGGATTTTTCAGTTACCTACCATCATTGTATTGTCTTTAATATGGATTAACTAAATTGACTTGAGATACAAATTCAACAGGTATTTGCAGGATCTTTGATGCTTTAATCATTCTGTTTCTGCCTTTAATTTAGTCTATGAATATAGTGCTAGGAATCGCACGTTAAAAGATGAGACCTCGTTAGCCCTTAGCTCGTACAAGTTTCAAGAGTTGTCGTTCGTAGGGGGCAACAGCTGGTTAACGGAAAAACAGATTTTTTTCAGTGGAAAAACAGTGACAGCAAATAAATCTAAAAAGAATCAAATCATTGTTTCTTAGCCACGTGCCATTTGAACTACCTACTATTTATAAATTATAAATTCGAAAATTTACGAAAATTTTAAGGTGAATTTCATGGACTAATATGATATGATATGACCTGAAATCCCTAAAAGAACAGATAAAATTGAAAATTGAAGTGAGTAGCTGAAAATGACAATTATATCAAACAAAAAAACCCTGGAATGAAATCACAGTAAAATAAAAATTAAGCAAGAAATTGAAAATCGGACAATTAAAATGAACTATAAAATGAAAGATTTCAATCCAAGTTACTTCATGACGTTTTGATTGTTAGTTTCCACAATCGTCTTCGGGTGATGATTCCAGCTATTCATTTCAATTTTCTATTTTGTTTGTTTCATCAGGGATTTCAAATTATGTTATATCTTATTAGACAATGGAAGTCCTAACTATTGAAATTTACCATGAAACAGGGATTTAGGAAATTTTATTCAAAACAATTTGTAGCCCTTCTTTCTTCGTCTTCATATGTTG